GCCACCACAATCATCCACCTGAGCTACAAGTTTTCTCCACCATCTCAAGATCGAAAAACACCAGTCTAGTATAATTGGATTTAGATTAGAAAGTGATTTTAACGCTTAACTGATATAACGTGGTTATTGGAATAAATTTCTTTCATGCATAAGAAACCATGACTGGAGTTTATGCTACCAATGTGTACGATACACACTGCACACAGACTAACTAGATCACATAAGTCAGATAACCGATTTATGACCACAATAAGAACAAGACTAGATAGGTAGATCATACTTTATTCTATACATTCACAACTTGTCATTTTCAGCAAGTTTAGGAGTAGAAATCAATAACAAGATAATAAAATCATACGTATGTATGTAATAGTTAGTTCACATTCAATCAATGTCATTGATTGGTAGCTTGTAAAGTAAAAGGATTTTTTCCTAAAAAACTATTTTATTAGCATTTCTTGGGAATGCTATTGTATTTCGAATATTAGCTATCCCTAGAATAAATTGTAAAAGACGTTCGAAACCAAGACCAAAACCGCCATGAGGAACATGGCCAGTACTACGTAAATTGATATACCATTGTGATTGATGTGTAGAATGATTATTCAAGTTTAAACGGGTTTGTAAAACAGATGCGGAATTTTCCCGTACACTAGCACCGACTAGTTCACCAATTCCTGGAAATAATAAATCAGTACATTCAGCTGTAATACCATCAATTGATTGACAATAGAATGGTTTCAATTCCATGGGAAAATGAGTAATAAAGACTGGACGATTACCTCCACCAACCCAATGCAGAATACGATGTTCATCAGTTTTACTTAAATCTTGAGGTGTTTTATTAGCAGTAGTTAGATTAGTTGTAGTCACTTTTTTTTTCAAATATTCAATAGCTTCAGAATATGAAATATGAACAAAAGGTTGTCTTAACATTGATTCCAACATATCACGCATTCGGAGAGCAGAATCAATCGGTGAATGTTTATCATGACTGTTCGGTTCAGATTGATTTCCAAGAAATGTTCGAATCAATAAGAAATCATTCTGAAAAGTAAGAAAATCGAGTTAGTACTTTCATTTTGGCGCCTTTTTAGGCAAAAAAATAAGCATCTGACTAGAAAACTATCTGAACCATGAATCGATCAATGTTAGATCATCATTAGAAACCTGGAAGCACTGAACGGGAGTTTCGTCCTGGTATAGGACTCCTCGGCAGTGCGCATCCACGACTCCTGCACCCCGCAGGATTCGAACCCAGGTCCTTCGGTATTGTAGGCGAACGCCTAACCATCGGACCACTGAGTCGGTATCTGACATTGATCGATTCATGGTTTCAAATAAAATTTAACAATCTTCACAACAACCCCGTAATGCAAACTTCCTATTACGTCAAGTCACTGACCTAAATCCTAGTATAAAACAATGGCTCAAGCCTTGATTATTCTTGTACCTGTCATCATATTTGTGCAATCTATTTCACTGCTACCTATAACATGTTAACAGTCGTGATTAGTTTAATAATTTGTAAAGCCTAGAGAAGTGAACTATTTGAAGATAACATTGTGTTGTGGTGGTGTTTCGTTGGCAGTGAAGCTTCATCATCATCAGTAAAAACTTCAGATAGAAGTGAAATATTCGAATTTATCCAAGTTTGACCCTTCAGCTTGTTCTGTTAACCTAGATCTTGATTGGTTGCTGTCGACCTAAAATCTGTCGTTGTTTGCAGCTTTGTTTTGATTGTATCCCCCTTTTGATCTGTTTCTTGATATTATGTCCCCTATGATTTTTCTGATTGGTTAATAAATTGGGTCAAGGTAGATGTGTTTGTTGATTGACCTGAGTGCCAAGCTTCTAAAAACTCTCTAACGTTCGTTGTGCTCTCCCTATCCAGTATTTCCACGTTGTTCCAATCGAATCTATGTCCATAATTGTCGGTGTGTATTGATGATATAAGCGAAGCGTTGTCGTGGCGTTCGACTGCTAATTGATGTTCACGTAAACGGAGCTGAAGAGGTCGTCCACTTTGTCCTATGTAGTGTTTTTCACAGTTTGAGCAATTTATTTTGTAGATGATATTTGGTTTTTCTTTTGTCATTTTGTCCTTTGGTCTACAGAAAATTGATTGAAGTGATTCTATTGGTTTGTGTGTCACACCTATACCAAATAGTTTCAGTAGTAGTGTTGTATGCTCCGATATGTCTTTTATGTATGTTAGGATGACCCGTTTATTGGTTTTTGTGCTTGATTTTGCTTCCGTTGACGATTTCAGTTGATGTTTTTTTTATGAAATTGCGTTGATAGCCATTCTTTTGGAAGAGAGCCGTTAGATATTTTTCTTCGTATCTTTGCGTTTCATGTGTGCTGCAGTGTGTCTTCGCTCTTTTGAACAAAGTTTATATGCAGTCGATTTTGTGAGTTTTTGGGTTATTTCTACTGTAGTTGAGAATCAGGTCTGTGTTGGTTGGCTTCCGAAATACTTAAGTCTACATAACATTGTTTGCCTATTTAGCTTGTTCCTAATTCAGAATATGAGAACATAAATCAGTTCAAATGAGAACAGAAGGAAAACTTCAGTGTTGGAAAGTAGGTTTCCTTCTACAGATGTCAAATTCCTCTTTCCGAACCCTATAAAGCCTATGAATCAACTGTATAAAACGTATCAATGAAAGAACATTTGAAATAATGATTAATTCATAGTATTACGAGGTTGTGAAGAGCGTTAAGTTACACATTTTGAAACCACGAATTGAATAATGTTAGACCACTACATTAGAAACCTGGAAGCACTGAAGGGCAGCTATTTCGTCCTGGTATGGGACTCATCAGTAGTGCGGATCCACTACTCCTGCAACCCACAGGATTCGAACCCGGGACCTTCGGTCTTGTGTGAAAACGCCTAACCACTGGACCACTAGCCCGGTACCTAACGGTGTTAATGTCTAACTTGATCAATTTACGGAGTTGTGAAACCTTATACACAGTCTTCGGTAGTTACTGTCTACGCCCGAACAGATTGAACTTCACTAGTCGCGACTTCCCACTAGAATTCGGAGAAGATTCCTCCAGGGGCTAGTCACTAGTGAGCACAGGTAATTGCATTACGGGGTTGTGAAGATTGTTAAGTTACACATTTTGAAACCGTGAATCGATCAATGTTAGACTACTCCATTAGAAACCTGGAAGCACTGAAAGATGACTGTTTCGTCCTGGTATAGGACTCATCAGTAGTGCGCATCCACTACTCCTGCACCCCACGGGATTCGAACCCAGGACCTTCGGTCTTGTGCGCGAACGCCTAACCTCTGGATCACTGAGCCGTCTAGTACTTCTAGGTTTCTAATGGAGTGGCCTAACTGATCGATTCATAGTTTCAAAATGTGCAATTCATAGTAGACATTTACGTATAATTTGAGGCTGAGGTGAAGTGATTTTTATTTTATTTTTACTTAAGGGAAACATATACAAAGGAAATAAAAATGAATAAGGACAAATGTAGGGATCAAACATCGTAACATGAGGACAGGAAATCAATAGTTCAATTTGAAATAGTATTATATATATTCGAACAAAGAAGATTAAAGTAACCGTAATGGTTAGTTAGAGAATCGATTAATGAATGATTAGGGCAAAGAGTTTACTAATTGTATAATAATAACTGTATGATTTCCTATGTTTATTTTGTTGCCTATACTTAAAACCACTTATGGCTTGTTAAGGTTTCGAATCTTGATTGAACTCTGTGTTCAAAGCAGGCTTAGTAATTGAATTAATTGTGTTAAGCATAGGAGTGTTGTAGCAGTTCACATGTGTTTGTTGCAGCATATCAATCGCTTCTCAAAGGTGTTATCTATACACACACATTAATGGGTGTGTGTGTGCGTAACCCATATACTCTAGTCATATAACGATTTGTTAAAAGTTGTACTATATCTGACATTATGCAAATTTACAGTGTTAAATAGTTTGATTCATGCAAGTATAAAGAAAGTATAAATAAAATATATTCTGCAGAAGTACAAGACATATAAAAAGTTAGTCAGTCAGGGAGTTAGCTACAACGTAGAGCTTCGTACGTGCGTACATTAGTTCACGTTGTTATACTACATAGTATACCTAATTGTACATATTTTATGCGGGGTTGAATCACCTAAAGATCAAACTCTGATAAGTTATATATCATTTCTGAATATGATAATCGTCATTTTTATTGAAAAGGATTATATTTACTCAGATAATACAACGACCATCGGTTAAAATTGTCTTGTGGAACTAAATCAGGTAAGCTATATATACTAACATGGCTCAGTCAAGTTGTCAGTGACTTTATGGATTCGTTCAACTGCTCCTAGCTTTCTTTAAGCATAACTTTACATCAAACAACATGGCTTATCCTTTCTCATACATTGAGGACAATCAGCCATTGAAACTTGTCAAATGGGATGAAGTTTAGTTCTCCGATTCTACCTAAGATCTCAGTCAATCGCACTGCTAAAACTGGATCACCATCCCTAAAAATCTCATGAGTTGGAGCCATCAGGACCTGCTGCACTCCCTTAACTTAGATCGCCTATAGACATTTCAATCTTCTCAAGAGTCACCGGAATTAAATCAATAAGCCATTCACGTTGACTGGAGATTGTGGGTAAGGGAAGTGTAGCTGAAGGCTGGTTGAACTAATCCCTAAAGTACTCTCCCAATCGATTCAACCTTCTGGATTAGGAACGAATAACAGTCCCATATTTTTCCGAGATAGTCTCACTAACAGTCGGATATCCAATACTAGTTCCCTTGATAAGTTTTAACAGTTTTTTACTGTTAATTATCACCACTGCCCTTTCTGTCTCTTCCGCATTTGCTACACATCACCGTACACGATCATTGATTAGTCCTTTTATCAGCTTGCGTTCAAGCTGTCTCTGTTCATCACCGTGCTGCTCCGAGCCATATCTGATGATTTTCCGGGCACCCATCAGTTAAGTAGATACCACTAAATTCCACTGCCACTCCCTAACCTTTCAGTTTGACTTACTATTATCTGAGCACAGCTTCAGCAGTCAGCCGCCATTATCTGTTGTACCACTAAGATCCACTCAGGTATCTTTTAGTTTCGTTTCGTCTACCTACATGAGGATTGAAATAATCAGTACGCCTTTTCACTTAGACCTTGAAAATTGCTGCTCTTAGTCTTCCCGTTCATTCTCTAATCAACCTGTTTGGTATGTTACTACCTAAAGGGACATGCATCCCATCCAATATAGGTCGATTAGGTCATCAACATCGGCAAACCCAACCACCACATCAACGCAGCAGCTACAGTTAAGATATCAGTAAGTAAATGTCAGAGAATCTAAAAAAAACAAACTAGTTTTACTAGAACAAAGTATACTGTAAATTTCATTGTTACTTAAAACAAAGTCATGTGAACTTAGACCATATTTCTCATGATAAAATAACAAAAATATAACGCATTTAATTTACTACTAAAGAACAAAACTAAAAGTGCAAATCATTGATGATCAACTTGGAGTAGTGTAGGATAGCAAATGAAACTTTAGAAAAAAAAACCCATGGAAGATTGTGGAATTTATATAGACAGACAGAGAGATACAACGCAGAACTTCGTATGTACGTACGTATATCAGTTCAGGTTGCCATACCACATTAGCACAGAGACGTAACTGTCAGTTCAAATCCAACAGTGATAGCGATAGTAGAATTATTAGCAGTAATGGAGAAGATTAGGTCGAAAAGATATGATTCGAAAGTGTAATTCAGTGAGATAAACTTAGAAAGAGAAAGATAGAGATTATGAGGAATTCAGAAGGTTAGAATTAAAAAGCACACAAAGAGTGGATGCACCTGCTGCGCCATTGCAAACGATTCTGAGCCATATCGTTCAAGGTCTCTAACCATTGGTGACTTTCGTCTCGCGTACCCCAACCAGGTAGCCTACATCTACCAACATGACTCATTCCACTTATCAGTGATTTCATCTATTTCTGCCATGATTTGGTCTGGCCGCCCCTACCTTTCTTCCAACCTACTCCTACACCACAAAACATAGCTCGTCGCGGCAGTCGTAACACATGTCCCAACCATCTCAACTGATGAAGTTTCAATGCTTCATCTATTGATTTGCCATCCTTACCTAGAATTTATATAAAAAATGTGTATCCAATTAATTAATTCTTTTCTTTGTCTCACACTAGTTACTTACTGGAGAATTCATAGGAAGCATGTGAGATACTGCATGCACGCATTCATTCATTCAATAAAATACTATCATTATTCATATTACAATTGATAATATGAGTAGTAGTAATAGTATAACCATACAATACCATCAAAAATATTGCTAAGCAGAGTAAACAAAGAAATACTCTACATAGTCACATTTTCCATTCAAATATTTACAAATACGTATCAAAAGTTGAGTACACACAAGTGTGTGTGCGTGTGTGTGTGTGTACGTTTGTGTATTCTTGATAAACACAAAAGTAACTAATAACTACTATGACAATAGACAAGGAAAAAAGAAACAGACGAATAAAGTTATTACTAAATTTGATTTGAAATCAACACACACAAAAGATTGTTTGGAATAAAACTGTTTCATTTTAGTGAAAATTTGGGAAAGATGATCATCAGAAACAAGTTTTAAAACTTTATTTTAAAAAAATATTTATTGATAAAGCTGTTTTTGACTCGACGAGTTATGTTTTGTGGTGTAGGAATAGGTAAAGGTGTACCAAAGAAGTACATTAACCTTATACAAGCTCTCTACTCGAATACCACTGGTCGAGTGAGAGCTGATAGCGAACTGTCACCGGAATTCTTTATTTCAAGTGGTGTCCGTCAGGGATGTCCACTCTCTCCATTCTTGTTAAATTTTATCATAGACATGCTCCTAGAAATAACCTCATCCTCGTCTGAGTTTTCAGGAGTAGACGTCCTACCAGGAGGTTCACTGGTTGACTTAGAATATGACGATGACATAGTCCTACTTGTTGAAGATGCTGACATAATGCAGAGTCTTCTGACCACCCTAAGCAACAATGCAAGCATGTTCGGGATCGGGTTTTCCCCATCGAAATGCAAAATGTTGCTTCAAGACTGGGTCGAATGGGCACCTGAACTAGTGATAGGGAGTGAAGTAGTCGAGCGTGTAGACCGCTTCACTTATCTTGGGAGTCTGATCGTTTCTGATGGCCTGGTGACTGACGAAATCTCAGCGCAGATACAGAAAGCTCGATTGACTTTTGCCAACTTGCGTCACTTATGGCGTAGGCGAGATATCCGTTTGCTGACTAAAGGACGAGTGTACTGCGCAGTAGTTCGCTCCGTCTTACTTTATGGCTGTGAAACATGGCCAGTGAGAGTAGGAGATATTCGTAGGTTATTGGTTTTCGATCATAGGTGTCTTCGAAGCATTGCTCGTATATCCTGGGACACCCGAGTGAGCAACGCTGTTATTAGGAAACGGGTGCTAGGTAAGAATGACAGATCAATAGATAAAGTAATGAAACTTCATCAGTTGAGTTGGTTGGGACATAGGCTGCGTATGGCTAACCACCGACTGCCTCGATGAGTTTGTTTTGTAGTGTAGGAGTAGGTTGGAAGAAAGTTAGGGGCGGCCAAACCAAAACATGCCACAAATCTATGAAGTCATTGACGAGTGGACTGAGTCACGTCGTCAGTTGTCGACTACCTGGTTGAGATCCGCAAGACGATAGGAACCGATGGTTAGAGACCTTGAATGACATGGCTCAAAATCGTTCGCAATGGCGCCGGTGCATTTATTCTTTGTGTTCTCGCAAATCCTAATCTTCTGGATTCTTCAACACCTCTAGTTTTGACTTTCTAAACTTTTCTCATTGAATCATACTTCTTGAATAATATCTTCTAATCCTAACCTCTCCGATTACTTCTAATACATTTACTACCTCTTCTACTATTGGATTTGAATTGACAATTACATCTCTGTGCTGATGTGGTATGGCAACCTGAACTGATGTACTTACGTACGAAGTTCTACGTTGCATCTGACTGACTGACTGACTGTAGGAGTAGGTTGGAAGAAATTTAGGGGCGGCCAAACCAAAACATGGCAGAAATCCATGAAGTCACTGACAAGTGGAATTAGTCATATTGGTAGATATAGGCTAGTTGGTTGGGGTCCACGAGACGGAAGTTGTCGACGGTTAGAGGCCTTGAACGGCATGTTTCAAAATTGTTTTTAATGACGCAGTTACATCCACCCCTTGTGTTCTCTTGAATTCTGAAATTCAGAATTCCTCATCATCTCCATCTTTCTCTTTCTAATTTTATCCCACTGAATTATACTTCACGATTCATATCTTCGCTCCCTAATCTTCTCCATTACTGCTAATATTTCTACTATCTCTACCACTATGGGATTTGAATTGACATTTTCGTCTTTGTGCTCACGTGGTATGGCAACATGAACTGGTGTACTTACGTACGAAGTTCTGCGTAGTATCTGTCGGTCTGCTTTTGACAAGAACATTAGCGTACTTTCTTTAGGATAGATCCATCAGCTAAACAATTACCGTTACCTTACTGTAAGATAAACATTTATACTTACTAGAGGAGGTTATAAATTAACAATGATTGATTCACAGAAACAAACAGCAATAAACCTATGGATTATTCGTTGTTAGACACTGTCATTAAAAACCTGGAAAGACAGTTGTTTCACCCTCTGGTATGGGACTACTCACCAGTGGCAGTGCACATCCACGACTCCTTCTACTACTCACAGGATTCGAACCCTGGGAAAGTTAGATCCTCAGAACTCACTTGGAAAAAGGTCCTAATTTTAAAATTTTATTCTGAAATTCTGAATTTGCATGTTTTCGAGCCAAATGATGTTTAGTTGACCTACAGCTTACATTTCCAACTCGGAAATCCGTGACTTTCATTGCTTGACGGATTTTTTTAGTAGGCTAGTTTGTGGCTTCCCCAAATGCGCTTCTATCATTGTATAAATAAGCTTGATTTGTGTGCTTAGACACTTCGTATTTTCTGGATGCTTGTAGAATACATTCTCTATGCCTTATCAAGACTTCATTAGATAGTTAGCTGGGCTGAGGACAACGGATTAGAATAGTCTATTGTGTCACTGAGTCATTTTGCTCTTCGTTCCGTTTACTGAGGAGTAAGGTGAACTCGTAATAGTTTCGAGTATATCACATCAACAATGTAACTACTACTCAATCATAGATGACCATCCAATACAAAATGGATCATTGTGTCAAGACAACCGTAACAATAGGGTCATCGAGTATAATTTGAATGAAAGAATGAATAATAATTTCATTGATTGATTAATGACTGAATTTTCAAATTAATTTAATTGAAACTAATTAGTTTACTAGAGTGTTCGACAGCATGTTGTGATGCTGGTTAAGTGATATGCGTCCTAAGGCCTCACACTAAATAGATGGAGTCTTGATATGGTGTAGAAAGTGTATTCTACAAGCACCCAAAAAATATTAGGTTGGCAAGCACAAAAATCGAGTTTCTTTATACATCATAGAAACGTCCTTGAGAGAACCACAATATAGCGCGTACTTAAATAATACATCAACCAATAACAGTCTAGGGTGTCCGAGTGAGAAGTATCATCTCAAGGTCAACTGGTCAGCGCACACTTGAAAACGAAAATATTCCAAAATTAGGACCTTTTATCAAGTGAGTTCCAGGGATTTAATCATAGCTTTACAATAAAAATTCATACCAGTAACCGTAAAACAACAGTAAAACAGTGAACACAATGAAGAAAGATGCGCATAATCATTTAAATTAGATTTCTACTTCTATTAAAGACCAAAGAGCATAAAAAAAAACACAATAACCTTGAGAATTGTCATAAATTCTTTGAGTTAAGGACAATAAATATAAAATATTTCGATATAAAGTACAACAGTGACATATTTTTCTTTTATATACGCATAAAAAAATTGGATTGATTAGTGAAAACAAAACAAAACAACGAATGCTTTTAATCATTGAACAATGAATCGATCAATGGTGTGTGTGTGTGTGTCAAGGTCACACCAAAAATTAGTGTGAACCTATGAAGCGGGCAATTCAAAATGAAATCATTATCAGTCAAACTAAACAATGAACTCTGAGGCTAAAAACAACAACTTCATTCCATGAAAAATTCCTCATATTTAAGGGTTTTTACGGAGGGAGAGCGAGGGAGAAACTGTTACTTACTTGTAAAGCATTCAATTGATGACATTCTGGTTTAGGATAAATTAGCAAACATTCATTGCATATTTTTTTAATGAGTAATTCAATTTCCTCGCATAATGAATTAATATTATTTAAATAAATTGATTCTGCTTCAAGCATATAAAATTCTGCAAGATGATGTCGTGTATTTGAATTTTCCGCACGAAATGTTGGATTCAATGTATAAACCTAATTAGTTTTGAATTGGGGAAGAAATGAAATAACTATTGGTTAGAAAAGTATGCCGTTTTAGAATATATAAAAATGTTATTTCATGTAAGGATTAACGGCAAATAGTTACATTAGATGAAAGGGTTATGGAGATTGTTGAGTTGTTGTGGAAATCATGAATCGATCAATGTTAGACCAACACCATTGGAAACATGGAAGCACTGGAAAGCCATTTCGTCCTGGTATGGGACTATTCATTAGCATCCACGACTCCTGCTACTCACAGGATTCAAACACAGGACTTTCAGTCTTGCGCGCGAACATCAACATCAACATCTGGACCACTGAGAAGTTTTATTGAGGAGTCATGATCAGTGAAGTTTAGGTATGAAGCAGTGCTCGCTGAAGACAGTGGATGAGCTTAGGCTAAGCGGTCCAGAGGTTAGGCGTTAGCGCACAATACAGAAGGTCCTCGGTTCGAAACGTGAAATCGCTTCCAATCCGATACGTAAAACATGTCTCAGTGTTATTCGATAGTGCTGGGAGTAAAGCATTTAGAAGTTCTATTTTCGAACATTTATTCGATTCCAATTACTTCACTGATCCACAGGTTTATTTTAAGCGTCACTCATACAGTTACTCGAAATCTACCTAGATTTATTTGTTTCCATCTCCTTAAATCAGCAGCAGCTCTTGTCATCCATGAAATGAAGTGACAACTATGAGTAACAAGGACGCAAGTGTTATCCTTCTCTTTAGCATGGCATTACTGTAAATATTCCCCGATCTCTCTTTGATTTTATTCATAATGGTTTCTGAAATGGCTTCATATTATCTAACCACTATAATAGATTGAATTCTAATGGTTATCAAATTTTAATGATCTCTGTCTTACTCCATTCACATTGTAATCCGTTGTTAACTTATTGATTTTGTACGGCTATTAGGTTGCACAGATACACACAATTTTTTTTACGATAATTATTAACAACACTACTTAAAATAGTGTTGTAATCTTTCTATGATGACATCATGTTTATCGATTATTCATGATATAACTGACAGTATACATATATATGCGATTTGAATCTACAATTGCCTCTCTATGTGCTAAACTGGTATGGTACCTTGAACAGACGTACGTACATACATACGAAGTTGTACTATGTAATTGAGTGACTGACTGAAAAGTCGACTTAAAATCAGGAAGTTTTATTTATTTTAGGGTATGGACACTGACAATTTACAACTAACTCTAACAATGTCAGCACTCCTTGAAATTATGGATTTTCCCATGCATTTTGGGCAAAATTAAACTTATAACTATTTCGATTACGTAAAAATTAGTACGCAGAACTTCGTACATAAGTACATAACTTCAGGTTGCCATACCCCATCAACATAGAGAAGCAACTGCCAATTCAAATCTAAGAGTGTTGGTGATAGTAGAAGTATTAACAGTAATGAAGAAAGGTAGGGTTCGAAAATTTTATTCAAGTATAATTCAGTGAGATAAATTTTGAAAGAGAAATATAGAGATGATGAGGAATTCAGAAGGTTAGAATTTGGGAGAAAAGAAATAGTGGATGCACCTGCGCTATTACAAACGACTTTGAGCCCTGTTGTTCAAGGTCTCTAACCAACGAATATTATCATCCCGTGGATCCCAGCCACGTAGTTGACACCTACCGGCATGACTTAGTTCACTTGTTAGTGACTTCATGGATTTCTGCTATGTTTTGGTCTCGCCGCCACTAGCTTTTTTCCAATCTACTCCTACACTGCAAAATATAGCTCGACGAGGCAGTCGGTGGTTAGCCATACGTAACACATGCCTTAACCACCTCAACTGATGAAGTTTCACTACTTCATTTGCCATCCCTACCTAGAACTCGTTTCCTAACGACAACATTGCTTATACGGTTGTCCCATGATACACGAGCAATGCTTCGGAGACATCGATGATCGAAGACTAGTAACCTACGAAAGTCCTCTACTCTTAACGGCCAAGTCTCGCATCCGTACAGTAGGACGGAGCGAACTGCCAAACAGAACACTCGTCCTTTAGTGAGCAGACGAATATTTCGCATGCGCCATGACGCA